AGACCATATATATTATTATTCTGTGATTCTAATTTTGTATTTTTTCTTGTATTTTAAATAATTTTCACATACATACACATTTGTATGGGAAATTATTCACATAAACATTCGTGTTTGTTATAACCTTATTGATAATTGATTCTTTTAACCCATAAACTAACCTCTTGTATGTTTCGGACTTACCTTTTATTTACATTTATGTGTGGTACTTTTGTCCTTGGATTCACTGTAAAAGGTTTTCCCATTTAATAGAAAAGGTTAACCCATTCAGCATTCAGCATCATGCGTGATATGCTCAGATTCATACGTGCCACCTTGTTATAGGGCCATAGAGGAAGAAGAATCCTACCGGTTATTCTTCTTCCTTAACCTGTCTTTCCCAACCAAGTATCATCCACCCTACATACTACCTATGGTTCATGATAATTCCAGCACGTCAAAGGTTCCCTTCTGTAGTCTCCAGGGCTGACAGAGAAACTCGCCTTATTTTACCTTTCTGTCTTCATTTCAATGGACATATTGGATCAGATTTTGGTGGGAAGGAGAGCTGAATGACTGTGTTCAAAAATCACCATTTTGGCCCTGCATTGGGACTACTTTTAACTTTCTTAAAAATTTAGTTATACATTCATAAACATTAATACAAAGTAAAATATCAATATTATTCATTTTAATGGCCAAGATTTAAGCATTAACCTAAAAAATGTGATGGTATAAGTGTGTTTATTATAACGTGCAAATCTCATCATAGGTGAAAGTTGGGCAAATACTTAATTGGAAATGCAAATGAAGACTTGCGTGGACATTTATTTGGTACAAGTAATTATAGAAAATTTGTCCCATAAAACTAATTAAGTGAAGCTGTTATTGGTGCAGCTAGTTATTGTGCACATGGATTCACAGAGAAAGCTAAGGCCTGGGCTTCTGAATATAGATTTGCATTTTGGCATGGCTTACACAAGAGGATTCAAATTTGTTTTGAAATACTAGGAAGACCTCAGCAAACTGAAAATGATTTCTTCTTGGATACTGGAAAATAATAATAAATAAATGCTTTTCTTGTTTTACTAAAAGCTGATTTTCAGTCTTCCTCAATTGGTCTACTAGAAAAATCTGAGAAGATAAACATTTTTAAATAAAAAAAAGAATGGCCTTAGATAGATGAGAAGAATCTAGCCTGATTTTCAGGACAGAATTAAGATCATTTAATTGAGGATAGAAATATTAAACAAATCTACTGAATCATAGAATTATTAGGAGATGATGTCTATACCGGAAATGTTTTAAAACTCTAAAAGGTGCCTTCTGTTTTCTGATATACATTTACTACATTACTGATTGGCAGATTTAAGGAATAAAGTGAAAATGGGCAAATAATAGAAGTCTTTAGATTATAATCCATTCCAATCACACTTTTTTTGATGTTTTTAATCATGTGTAAAAAGTTTCACGTATCTGTATAATCATTTAAAAAATAACTTTTACAAAAGTTGAACAGAAATGAAATATATAAAAAGGTAGCTCACTGACCTGGATTCTTTCTTTTCTCATGTATGTCTAAGCTAATGTATATGGTTTGGACAATTCACCACCATTTATAGACACACTGATTCTAGAATATGTATTTTAAATGAGCCAATAGTCAGCCAGACAATTCACCCTGATTAAAAGATATAGTGAATTCAGAACATGCTCTTTATTTAACAGGCTTAAAGACACTTAGCAAATTACCATTTTGAGAAAGATTAAAAGATGAAGAACAGTCGATATTTCATACTTAGACATTTTAAAATGTAGTTTGCATTTCCTCTAAAAGTATAAATCAAACTTTAGTTTATGACTTGGTTAAAGAAAATGTATTCTCACAGAAGTTATTCACACTCATCTCCAAGAAATGCAATTTTTGTTTTTAAATATAAAATAAGATATAATCGGGTACGGTTCCATATCCTATAGCTATAATAGTGAAGCACTGATAAATCCATTTTTATAATTCTCTCTAATATTAAAAGAGCAGAGAAATAAATCCTTCTAAGAGGCACAAAACATAAAATCTAAGGGTTTTCTCTTTGATGCTTATTTCTGGAGTTTTAATCAATATTTATCCAAAATGGCAGTATTACACCCCCTTAGGAGCTCAGACTTTGATGTTAGCCTGCCTAACTCAAATCCAGCCTCTATTACTCATCAGCTACAGGAGCCTTTTGTGCCTCAGTTTCCTCATTTGCAATGATCATAATAATAAAGCATGCCTCGCTAGGTTGTCAGAGAATTCATGATTTAACAAATGATAATACACAGCACAGGGTTTGCTGGTAAGCATTACTCAATAGATATTAAATTTTTTTAAAAAAACCCTAGATCTAAATAAGTAAATTTTAAAACATACCCTCTAAATCAAAGGTTAGAATTATTTGAAAACCAAACAATCAATGACATAATAAGCAGCTTAAATATTACCTGTTATAGATACTGAGGGTTTTGACTGTTTTCGTCACATTTATGTCTACACTTTAGGTAGGGAATCAACTGGCCTGGAGAGTGCATGCTGAAGGTGAACCACTGACCATCGGGAAAGGCCACATAGCTCCTCTGAAAGAGCTGGTCCCTTTCCAGTGTAGTGGTCAAGGAATCAGAAATGAATCTGAATTGAAACAGCCGCACTGGAAAAAGCCGCTGAAGCATATTATTTCGGGGGTGGGGGTAAGGTGGGGGGGGGGGAGCAAAGTCCCTAACGGGAAATGTGACTCGGGTCATGGTGCCTTTACACAGTAGAGACCTTTCTCACCTGGGCTTATTTCTGGACGGGCCACAGTCCTTTTGTATTCGAAACAGACAGTGTAAACCAAATCAAGCGCTCCATGGCTGGACATCCCTGAATTCAAGTGGTGTCCTCTCACCACTAAGAATGAGCTGAAGCCCTTCAAGCTTTTAAGTGATCAGAGTCCTCCTCCAGGCCGCCCTACCCCTGTGTCCTTTCTTGCTCCCCATCTGCTGTTCTCCACCGGGCTCACTCCACTCCATCTACATCATCTGCCCTGCTATTTCTGGAATTGGACAGTCAAGGCCTGACTTAGAGCCTTCGAACGCGAAGATTTCCTGCCTGGAAGAGTTTGCCCAGATATCCTCCTTAAGTTCTCACTCAAATGGCCCCTGCTCGGCGAGGCCCCTGCTGGCCCGCCCACGGGACACCGCAGCCCCGCCCTCCACACGTACCCCTGGCATGCAGTCCCCTGCTTCGCTGTCCACATAACACCTTGCACTCTCTAGCATACTGTCTGTTGGTTTGGGGGTTTGTTTGGTTTTGGTTTGGGTTTGTACGTTGCCTCCTGCAACAAAATATAAGTTCCAAGAGAGGAGACAGCTTCCCTGCTGTCATTTTTAGAGCATTATCATCTAAAACAATGACTGGCACAAACCGGATACTTGGTCTGGAAAAAGTTAGGGGGTTAAGGGGCTGCTTGCATTGAAAACAAGTCTTTCACAAACCATTCTACCTTGTGTTTTGAAGGATATAGTTTGAAAACTGCATGAATTTAGGTCAGTGGTTCTCCACTGGAAGTGATATTTGCCCCCCATCAGAACATGTGGCAGTGCCTACAGACATCTTTGATTGTCACAATCAAAGACAGGTGGACAGGTGCTACTGGTGTCCAAGAGGCAGCAGCACCCTACAATGTTGCTAAAGATTTATCGATAAGAAAGAGGAAAAAATATCAAATGTGTGTGTGTGTGTGTGTGTGTGTATAAATATACGTGTGTGTGTATGTATATGAATGAAAAAGGCAACTGCATTGTTCAGACAGCTCTAAAATTGTGCTTCATGTTCTGGTTACATGTATTCTTTTAGGAATAACTGACAAAGTTGTGATTTTAAAAAAACAAAAAAAAGGGAGGGAAATCCCAAATTACCATCTCGTCCCTGAGAGCCGGAGCGGCCTGCTGTGGTGGCTCCGAGCACTTGGCAGGAGCTGGCGCTGCGAAGCAGCAGCTGCACCACGGCTGTCTGAGCAGCATCAGGGATATGGGAACTTGGGGAGAAATTAACCGAGTGATCAAACACAGAAGAGGGACAGAGAGGAGCAGCGTCTCCCCTTCTGCAAGCACCACGTGAGCTAGCCTGATCGCGTGGTTAAATTACAGACTGCTCCGGCCATGGAAATGCGCTAAAAGCTTTGGAACAATAAGTCTTTGGGAAGAAATAAATAAAACCTTATTGACTGATAAGGCTACTTCAAATTATAGTAATGGTTGGATGAAAAACTGAAATTCTGCCTTGTAGAAGAGTACATTTGGTACAAATATTAATGTCCCATTAATAGGTGACCGGGTCCCAACGTTCCTTTGCCCATAAGGTCATTACGTGGTACTTTCTCCTCTAAATTTTATGGGCTATTTTTCCACTCGGCTCTTAGCTTACTCTGGCATGCTGTCTTTTAGCTGAGCTTTATAAACAGCTCTCTTTTTCAAAAGAGGCTCTCTGCTTTCTCTCACAAAGCATTTTTGGAGACAGAAAGCAAACATGGCTACTAAAAAGGCAATTAGAACTTTAGGAGAAAATGATCTTTTGTAGAACTGAGAACAACTGTCCAGTTACCAGCAATTAATCTTTGAAGAAATAGGCAGTAAGGGGGTAGTAAAGAAATACAAATATGTTTTTTATTAACAAATAGAAAACCAGTCAGAGGTATGTATTCCTTGAAACCAAAGAAAAACTCGTCTCTTTAGATGGAAAGGTTGAGAGTGAACCGAAATGCTGGTCAAATGGTTTTGTTGGTTCGAACAATATTCAACTGACACACAGAGAAAATTATGTTACTTTCTGCCTGAAACTACCAGAACCACTGGATAAGGATAAGGACTAAAGCAGTGGTTTCCTGCTACAGCTGGGAGCATATTTCCCCTCCCCCGGACGGACAAAGACAATAGCAACTCCAAGCCATACAAACTTTTCCACTATAAAATGACTCACAAATTGTGTATTAACAAAAGAAACTTACGGACAGCAAAGGAATGGCAACTTTTCCAAGAAAATCAGGGGGTTTATCTCCATCTTCATCAAACACTGTCACTTCCAAAACATCATGGATATCTTTAACGGGGCTGAACAAGAAACACACCATGTATTATACACAAAAACACACAAGTAAAGTCTGTTCTGTGAGGATCTGAAAACACGGTTTCACTAATTAAGTCTGTATGTCCTTAGAGTATAAAACTACCATTTAATTAAATTCCAAAAATTAAATCAAACTGACTATATTCCCCAACCTTCCATCATAGAAGATTCAGTCATCCATATTAAAAAAAAAAAAGAAAGAAAGAAAGCAAGCAACATTTTTCCTATGACATGTTCCGTGTCTACGTGCACTCGAGTAGGACTGTTAAACAGGACGAAGAAAGAATACGGGAGACGGAATGAGTACGGTAAAAGGACCGTGATTTCAAAGCAGTTCTAAGTGAGAAGAGCAAAAATAAGGTTATTTTAAATTAATGAAAAATTAATGTCCTTAAAAAAAAGGTGGTCAAAATCATTAGTCACTGAGATCCAACAAAAGCTTCCTATTGTTGAAACACGACGTACCAAAAGCCTCACGTACATTTAGAAACAGTTTTTATGCTGACCAGAAGCCAGACATCAGCTACAAGGAGAAACGGAGCTACGGTCACGGGCATCGTATTCGGCTAACAACAGACTCTTGCGTAAGGCAATTTGCAAAGCCATTTCGCAAAGTTCATCCCCTTCTCATAGAGCCTCGGGAACTTTCTACTTGGGAACCATGAACACCATTCAAAAGAAAATATTATCCTTTCAGTGATAAGCCCAGACGGTCCCAGCATTTCTTTAGCATTAGGAGGACAGGGTTCCACCATTTACTCCACCCAAATTCATCGGGGCCGCCCCTTGATGGTTAGTTAGGTGCCTCAAAATCTAAAGCAAACTAGGAAATCTATCTAGCCTCCTAAATGCTTGAGTTCGAATGCGTGGACAGGGCATCACTATGGAGCAGGTCATCCACGGTAGCTGGACTACGACGAGGCTTTCTGAGTCTTTGAGGAATCATAAATAACCCGTATTTTTTCAAAAGACTCTGGCAGAATACCAGCCTTCAGGCATTAAAATAATGCTATAATATATAGCCCCTTGAATTTAAGGCAGGTGTACATTTGTAATTTTCTTTAACCCTGGAATAAATTCATCTGGAAGCTTCCATCTAGTCACAGATTAATTTAATCACTAAAAGATCTACTTTACAAATGCCTCCTATAACACTCCCTTGCAGTTCCAAATGGTCTCCTCTATTATTAACACTAAAGTCTATAAAATGAAAGGATAAAAGGTTTTCAGAAGAGGAAAAAAAAAAAAACCAGTAACATTCATTCTTGGCACATAAAAATGGACAGAAAGTTCCACTCAAGAACCCCAGCCAGCCCCAAACATATCAGGGATAATTGGTCTCTAAGTTAAAGCCGCCCCTTGATATTCCAAAGGCTAAAGCACTTACAATGTAAAAACTTTGTTCCACTCAGGGTTGAGGGTTTTGTAAATGGTGTGTGTCTGAAGCCGGTCATTGCCCAACTCCAACAAGCAAAAAGGATCGCTCTTTCCTGGGAAGAGAACACAGACATCGGTCAGAGACAAACGAATCTCAGAAGTGACAGAGACCGGGCGAACAAGAGCCATGTGCTCTTGTAACAATAAAACTGTGCTTGCCGAAAGAGTGAAGGTGAGCCTGTTCCCAGCAAGCCCCGTGCGAGCCACGCGTGGGAATCTGGGAGACGAACAGAGCCTGCAAGTGTCGTGGCTTAAAAATCATTAATAGATTGGGACTGACATGAACCCAGATGCAGCCTTGAGAGCCCACGGCCATACTGGTTTCATAGGAGCAGGCGTCATTTTGTCACGTGAGAGAGTTCGCTTTTGTCTTTTGTTTTAGAGCAGAAGCTCATCTCTGTTTCCTTCCTAAATTCTCTGAGTCAAGGTAGATCACTGTTCTGTAACGGGAAGCCTCTGATGACATGCAGGCTGTGAGGAAGGGAAGAAAAGATACAAACACAGCTACTCAGGAATGAAAACCGCTCTGGAGGGGGCAGCCGCGTAGAAATCATCACCTCACATACTAAGTGCATCATGAAAACACACAGGCTACATTTTTCGGTGCTCCTAAATGTGAAAGTGTAATTCCATAAAGTCAGTTCAAAGTTTTACCTTAAAAAAATAAAGCTCGACCCTTACTTCTCCTACCTTACTTCTTTTCTTTCTACCCTACCT